GATTATGTGTTCCTGAACGCTAACACTTTGACTTAAGTAACATGAAAAATGTTTTTGTGATTCGTGTCAGTTGGCAATGGAATGAGCAAATGCTTGTATCTGCTGTGTCAAAAACGGATGCATTCCCTGGGATAGCTACAAAGAACGGTTTTGAAACTTTCTGACCAAATAGCCAAATAAAGCATCGAAATAGAAGAAGTATAGTAAAGAGATGAGGTAGCAAGACGACTGGTGCTTAGAATAAAAGAGACAAAGTTGTGGTAAAGCTAAGAGATATTGCAACAAAGCAACTAAATGCTTATGTATAATAAAAAGCTTGATGCACTTGACAAAATCATGTATCAGACACCATTGTAAGGCCTCCCTCCAGAAAACCACAAGAAGGACAGGAAGCCAATGACCACCTGGAAAGATTATGAAATTGCTGATCCCAGCTTATTGATATTTTCTGATTCAGACTAACCAAGCACATTGGAAAATGCTTTGTAGGTTTAAAAACAGTATATATACTTTGCCGAACTTGTAAGTGGTGTGTGCTGTTAGTTGAGCAGTGACTCCCTAGCCATCCAGTGCTGCTTGCTTTAAAATAAAAGATATAGAAATAAAATTTGGTTTGGCTATCGAAATTTTATAACAGTAATTGTTTAAGTTAAATGATGTTAAGTGCTGCTAAGTTTAAGTCATATTAAGTGCTTTTGGGCCTTTAGATCATATACCTTTTTATCTTTACCCTTTCCTATCCTTTTGTCTGCCCCCCCCAGCCTCCACATAGATAATTTTGGGTTTATTTTAGTTTTGATTGATTGATTTTGTATTTTTGTTCGCTTTTTTCTCTGTGTGTTTTATCTATCTAGTAAGTAGTAGAGTGAACCTTGCCACAAACTTTGTCATGCTGTTGTTTTTATATGAAACCTGTTTTTGTTGATACCTTTGCCAGGGATTCTTCAAGTGACCTTAAAACACCCATTCACACTCCATCCCCTCCATTACAGAGTCAGCCACCCCCCGCCTTACCTGCCCTGCCCATCCCTCCTAAGGAGCCTGTAACCACCCACCATGGCAATGAACACCTTTTTGTAGGTAAAACACCTTCTCTTTTAGCATACTTTTGCTATCAATATTGCTATTGTTATTGTGTGTCTTATTCCATTGAGTTGTGCTTTCAGTAAATCGTTATCTCAAACAATAGTCTGCTTTTGTCCCTCCCTTACTGGGCAGGGTGAGGGAAGGGGAATGGCTTATTTGGAGTTTAACTTCTGGCTGGTGTTAAAACCAGCACACTCGCCAAATACGCATCAAGTGATCACCTGCACTAACTTGCTCAGCAGTTCTGCCAGCAGTACCTGTCAGTGTGTGTGTGGTAACACTGACATTGATGTAGCATGCAGCAGTTAAATGGAGAAACAGAAGCCCCTCCTGTACCTGCAGATCTCAGAGTGTCTGCACCAGTAAGGTTCTGAAGGACAGAATACACCTGAGATGTTCCATGTCCATTTGGCCACATTTCCCACAGCTAGTTTAAATGCCTTCCCTCTGCTGACTCACATAACACATGCTGCCATTGGAAATAGGGAGAAAGAACCCAGGAGTCCAAATATTACTCCCAAGTCTAGACAAATATAAGAAGCTTTTCTGTCACGGAAATCTCAGTGACAGAGTTGTGAAATTGTTGTTATCACCTCCTCAGCCCAACAATGACAAGTTGGTCTGGTGAGGACACTGCTGTTCAGTTTGTCCTGTGAGGGGAGAAATAGTTTTATAGGGCAGATGTCATAAGCAGTCAGTTACTAGATAGAGAACATAGGCAATCAAATTGCCATTAGGTCGGAAGGCAGGAGAGGGGAAAGCATCTGTAGACCACTGAAGACATTGCTGACACTATAAGACTTCTACAGGAAAAATGTTACTGTAGAAATCTATATAGCTGTGAGTTACTACCAGAAAACTTATATGCATCTTCCTTCTGGAAAGCAAACTACCTTTAAGGTTTTTAAACCACCTTAGTAAGTTTGGGGCTGACAGTGGATATGTTCTACACCAGTTTATTCCAAACACTGGATTTACAAGAAAGTACAGGTTCATGATATTTTTTTCACTAGATCTTACTGAAGAGATTCTGATGACACCATCATCCACACAGGGGTATCCATGAACACAGTGATATCCAAAGTGTGCTGCTACCACTGAATGATACTTGGTAAATGCTTGAGGTGACATTCGAGTCAATCATAAGAATCTTTCTCAAGTAAACAAACATTTAAGCCAGAAATGTGATGTGAAGGAAAAAAAAGAGAGCAGATTTCCACAGCAATCTTCAGAAGAGGAAAGGCTAACAAAGCACACAATCTCAGCTTTCTGACTTTAGCTTCTGAAAATCTAGAATAGTCAAATAGTAGCTTTCTTTGGCATGAGAAGCAACCAGGATAATATCCTTTCCCCAGAAGTCTTATCTTTGTTTACTGAAGCAGAGTAATAAATTATTTTCTGATCTTTGAATTTTTTGAGGTTTTGTTTTTTCTTGTTTTCAAGAATTCCCTGAAGAAAGATGAAGAGATTTAGTTTTGTTGAAATGAACTGTGCAAACCCCAAGATTCATCAGTGTAAGGCAATATTACTCCAGATACCTAAAAACTTATCTGTCTCCTTTCAACCTGTGAAGTCTCTCATAAGAGCCTGAAAACTGATCTGAGGTTCTTGCACACATCAAGCTGAGACTGATACAGATAATCATCCCACAGCTTGTGGAGTGCAGGATTTGATGGAAGAAGTGAGAGGTACAGTCTGCCTTGAAACAGGTCATTATAATTTACCTTGGCTTCCTCTAGTAATTCATCAAGCACCTACAAAATGTAATTTGAGGTAAAGGAAGGGAAAATGGGAGGAATGACAAGAAACCTCTCAAGGCCATGGAAAAGATCTGCAAAAGCAAGTCCAGAGGAAGGCCATATAGATGGTTGCTCTGAGCAACCTGATCTAGTTGAAGATGTCCCTGCTCATTGCAAGGGGGTTGGACTAGATGACCTTTAAAGGTCCCTTGCAGTCCAAACTATTCAATGATACTATTATTTCTGGCAAGCAGAATAGTTTTGCTCTCTAGCCATCCCTACATATACACCCAAACCCATTGTACTGGTCCTTTCTTACCCCTGAACAGAGGAATGCCCTTCAGCCAGCTGCTCCAAGCTCTCTCTTCCACTCAAATTGCACAAAGGGACTGCACAGATCCTTGCTCTGTATTTACCAGTTAACTGTGCTTTACATCAGAAAACAGAATAAAAAAATTCCAGACAAAGCCCAAAGAGGGTCTTTGAGAGGCTCCTCAGTGACTTAAAGAGCTGTACCCACCAACACAGGGTCAAATTCCTGTCTTCTACTGTAATAATAATGAACGAAGGAAATACCTGAAGGCCCAACTCCAGAGAAACTTTCAGAAGAGTGATATCTGGCAAGCTGTCCATGAGTGTTGCTATTTTAAATGCATCCTGGGCAAGTTTGAAGATGTGTGATGAGGAGTGGATATTTTTCTGAATGGATTCTAACACTGTTTCCAGCCTCTGAACATCACCTGCAAGGTGCAAACAGAATCACCAAAACAGAACAAGCTTCCAAAACAGACAGAAATGCATTATAATTGAGCTTGCCTTTGCTATGAAATAGTACAATGTTTCAGTTATGCACATTTTAATTTTATAAACATTCCATAATGAAATTACATGAACAAAAGATACAAGACCACAAATTCCTCTGGTGCCTGATGGTGTTAGTGTAGTACATGGCCAAAAGTCATCTCGATTTGTGAATTTTAGAAGTGATTTGTCTACTCCTGGGTTTCCCAGTCTATATTGTGTCAGAAGAACAAAAAGCTGTCTCATCAGCCTCAAATCAAACCCATCTGGTTACTATGTAACTAGTTTAACCACTTTTCTAGAAAATTAAGTGACAGGTTTAAGTCAGTTCAGTTTGTTTTTCCTATTTCAAGCTCCTGTCAGGCTGTGATTTGAATTCCTAAACAGAAGTTTTATAATCTGTTTATTTAATGAAATATTAAAAGCATGCACTTAGTTGAGTATGTAATTGACAGCAATGTACCTTTGGCTGCTGTCAACATGGTAGATGCCAGCTCACACTGCTGGGATTCGATGTGACTTAGGGTGAACCAGCGGGGATACCGGTTTGGAACAACTGATGCAATATGGTGTGGACGGGATGTATCTCCCAAAGGAGCCATTGATTCCAATACTAGCAACCTGGAATAAGAAAGAAATACTCTTTCATCAAATCATTATTATATTAGGTTACTCATAAGCAAAACTAAAGCTGCAAGAACACTTGACCTTGTTTATTAAATGTGCAGTTTTGGGTATAAAGATACTGGAAAACCACTTCTTTTCTTGGGGAATCTTAAAAGTCCATTTGCCAAACATGCCTACATCAGCAGGCATCTGTAAGAATTCACAGGGCAATTAAGTCATTGTGCTGGTTTTGGCTGAGGTAGGGTGAATTTTCTTCATGGTGGCTAGTATGGGGCTATGTTTTGGATTTGTGGTCTTTGCTGCTTTTTGCACTGCCAAGCTGGCAAGGAGGCTGGGGACGCATGGGAGGTAGGGAGGAGACACGGCCAGGACAGGGGACCCAAACTGGCAAAAGGGATATTTCAGACCATATGGCCTCATGCTCATTATATAAAGTGAGGGGAAGAAGGAGGACACCTCTATATAGCTTTATATATGCAAAAATAAAATACATATAAATTCCCCAGCTGATTTTTTCCAAGCACAAAAGGGGGAGGAACAAAATGCATTATTAAATAGTTTCAACAAACAGGAAAAATCCTAACTAACATAATGCAAAAAGGATTATTAGGTTATGAGTAACAGCAAATGGACAAAGATCATGAAAGGAAAATTTCCTGTCACTGAATTTCATTGCCAGCTTCTATGTTCCTTTGCTGTGAAAAGAAATGCTGTTGTGAATTGGTGGCTTTCATGCAATTTTGGCAAGATTAGGGAACATTATAACAAGCACAAGCAGATTTAGCATTCTTCACTTTTTTGCCCTCTGAAACATCAATTATTTAGTTAGGTTTTAGCAAAGCTACTTTGTGATTAAACATCACCATTAAAGGCTGAGTCACAAAGCCTGGGTTGAAATTCAGGCTTAACAGGGAATCAGCCAAACGAAGCCAAATATTTGAGTTCATACTCCAAGTGAACAGTCAACTAGGTCACTGCAGATCCACATTCTCCAAGGCTGTACTCCATATGTTTCAGTGCTGCAAGCAGAGAACTGTAGACAAAAGTGACCATCAAGGATAGCACACTCTGTCCTTGCAGCCCTGAGGTGCATGCACGAAAGGCCTTATGGTCTCAAATTCTATTGATTTCATATTGAGTGCTCCACACACTAAAAGAAAAAAAAAAAAAAAAAAAAAAAAAAAAAAAAAAAAGCAATTGCAACAGATGATGTTGAATGCAGAGAGGCAAAATACTCCAGAGTTGCCATCATGGGTCAATGACCTGTGTAGACTGACACTAAACACTTATGTCTGGAGAGCAACTAGCTGTTGTCTTGGGAAGTTATCTTCTTTCATAAATGTTCAAGTGAAGAAAGAAATATGTTTGACTTCTAAAAGCATGATCAGCCATGCAGATTTCTATGTGGAAACATTTTACCCATGTCATAAAGGAAGAGATAGTTAAATTTCCCTCTTCTGATCCATTCCACCTCACAAACATGAGACATACATTTGTATTGGGTTTGCACAGCCAGGTTTTGGTAGTGGAGGAGCTACAGGGGTGGTTTCTGTGAGAAGCTGCTAGAAGCTTCCACAGCATCCGGCAAAGCCAGTCCCTGGTCGCTCCAAAAATGGATGTGCCACTGGTCAAGGTTGAGTCAACTAGAAATGGTAGTAACATATTTAAGAAAGAAAACCAGAAATTGTCGCACAGTTATAATTTCAGCCAGAGAAGAGTGGGGTGAGAGCATGTGAGAAGAACAACTCTGCAGACACAAAGGTCAGTGAAGAAGAAGGGGGAGGAGATGGTACAGGCCCCAGAGCTGGGATTCCTCTGCAGCCCATAGTGAAGAACACAGTGAAGCAGGCTGCTTTCCTGAAGCCCATGGAGGTCCATGGGGATGCAGAGTTCTACCCACAACCCATGCAGGAGCCCCGTGCCAGAGCAGGTGGATGCCTGAGAGAAGGCTATGACCTCGAGGGAGTCCCCTGGAGACAGGGTCCCACACTGGGGCAACCTGTCCTTGGAGGACTGCACCCCGTGGAAGAGTGACCCACACTGCAGCAGTTTGGGGGGGACTGTTGCCTGTGGAATGGACTCACTGCAGCAGTTTGCAGAGAACTGTTGTTCGTGAGATACATTGGAGAAATTCAAGGAGAACTGTCTCCCATGGGAAGGACCTCACAGTAGAGCAGGGGAATGACTCCTCTCCCTGAGCAGCAGGAGAAGACACAGGTGATGAACTGACCATAACCCCCATTCCCTGTCTCCTTGTGCTTCTGGGGTAGGAGGCAGAGCTGGAGGGAGGAAGGATCGTGGGAAAGGTGTTTTTAAGGTTTTATTTTACTTCTCGTTATCCTGTTCTGATTTTGTTAGTGTAATAAATTCAGTGCATATCTCTACATTGAGCCTGTTTTGCCCGTGATGGTATTTGATGAGCGATCTCTCCTGGTCCTTATCTCAACCCATGAACCCTTTGTTAAATTTTCTCTCCCCTGTCCAACTGTGGAGGGGAGTGAGAGAGTGGCCTTGGTGGGTGCCTGCTGTCTGGTCAGTGTCAACCCACTATAACATTCAATCTTCCTGTTTTCTTTCTTCCTTCCCCACCTCAAAAGAACATTTAGGTTTAGTTAGTTATTAATTTGGTTTTTATCAGGAGTGTTTTGTATACTGAAGTATCACTTTGGCGTGAATGGAAAAAGTAACTAACATTCTTTATAAGAATTTTTGAGAAGTTTCAAGGAACACAGACAGACATGGAATAGAAAGTGTCTGCATCTTCTGTCACCACAGTTCAAAGTTCAAGATAGCAGTCCACATTTCTTAAGAGTGCCAAATATATTACAAAATATTAAAAATGCATAAGTAAATAATATTAAAAAGCTGAACGCCCATCTGCCTTAAAAGTGATGCCAAGAGAGCTATGGAGAACAGCCCTGATTATGCTGATGTCTCCTGTGATTTTACCAGCTAGAAACAAACAGATAACTCTTTCTTATACTGCTCTGTTTGAGAAGTAATTTCTTTGGCCGCAATGGCAACTTCAAGCCAAAAGATGGCTGGAGCTCCCCATAATCAACTAGAGATTTGGATTTTTCAGTGCCTTGCTTGTTTTTCCAGTTGAGAAAGGAAATTTCCAGAAAAGAAGTTATCAGTTATGATTTGTTTCTGGGGAAAGCCCAAACACTTTTTCAAGAGGAATGGCATGTTGCCATAACATTCACTGAAGCATTCGGTGCACTGTGCAAAGCTACTCATAGATGTCTATTCTAGCCTTTTAATGTGGTCTCAGTTGTTTAGTTTAAGGAGGAAAACTCCCCACAATCTCTGAGAAACACTTTAAGGTAGTGACTGAAATTGAATGCAAGGATACAAGTGTACTTTATAAAACTGATCTTTTTAAAATTCTAATTCTAAAATTTCAAATTCAAAAATTCTAACTGTAAGTAGCAAGTATGCAAAGTTGCTTATCATATTTCTTACATTCCTCCCCTAACATCCACTATTAGACACTCTTGGAGGCAAAAAAACCCAAACAGGCTAAGCAGACCTTTGCCCTGACTTGATGGTAGCTATGTTTTTTCTTATGCATGCCTTCCCATTTAGTCCTTTGAACGTGTGACTATTTCCTCTTCATTTGGCTTTCTAGAGTGTGCTACTTTTGGCTGGGATAGAGTTAATTTTCTTCCCAGTGGCTGGTATGGGACTGTGTTTTGGATTTGTGCTGAACACAGGGCTGATAATATAGAGATGTTTTCGTTATTGCTGAGAAGGGCTTATACAGAGCCAAGGCCTTTGCTGCTATTTGTACTGCCACTCTGGAGAGAGACTGGGGGTGCATGGGAAGTTAGGAGGAGACACAGCCAGGACAGGTGACCGAAACTGACAAAAGGGATATTTCAGACCATATGACATCATGATCAGTGTATTAAGTGAGGGGAAGCAGCTAAGCAGCAGATGATCCTAAGACTGCTAGTGGGATGCCTCTGCTCATTTCCTTGCCACTAGCATTATACACACGCAACCACATCGGTAAATGAACACACACATGTGCTAAAGCTGTTGTTCAATACAAAACCACAAGTACCAATAGTGCAATTCTAGAAGGATTTGTAACATAGAATGCTGTTTTATAGTTGTATATAAACACTAATTGTACATTTATGAATTATACTGTAGTTAGTACAGACATCAATTGCTTTTACAGATGACAAAACCAAAGTAATTTCTCCTTAAACAGAACAATGCTTTTAGAAAAAAAGGCTAGGTCTTGACTACCAAGCTTTTTCCCCTTTTTCAAACAGCTACTTGTGTTCTTTCTAGATGACTTATGAATACATACCGCATGGCTCTCAGTGCACTTTTGAATGCCAATTCAGCATCATGAGGTAGGAGAGAGGTGAAGAGATACTTGGCAAATGTGTGCATTGGAACACTGTCTCGATGGATGACTTCACCTAAACCACTATATGGTCCAGCTGTGGGAAAGAAAAAGAGAATATCAGTCTTTACAGACTGTTAAAACTCAACTTCTGGACCTTTAGAACCCATTCATTACACCATGAGTTAGAGTTGGTATTCAGAGACAGCGTGCTGTACAAAAGGTAAAGTTCTATTGATACGTCTGTGAAATATATTACAGGTATATTAAATGCCATCTATTCTTTGAGACAACAAGACACATTGCAAATTGTATAGTACTAAGCACACTACCAATGCACATACAAATGACAGAATGGTCCCAGGGCTCCATGGTGCTCATTCAGCAAATCTATGGTATGCAAAAGTAGAAGGTGATAATCCTAGCTTTGCCTCTGTGTAGTTATATAGTGTACATGAATTCCTATGCACCCTCTGTTGGTTCATAATTGTGTTATCACAAATCCACAGGAAAAAAAAAAGTGGCTACAGTGGAAAAACAGGTATTTTTAATTGAATTTACATGACTAATCAGTCCAGCAGCACCTGATCCTTATTATTAATGTCTCACCTCACATTAGGCATTTAAATAACCCTTTGGTCTAGACTTGGTCTCCAGAGAAGACTAGGTCAGATCTTGCATCAAAGCTGCTTTTGTTAGTCTATTTTGCCACACAGTCTTAAAAATTATGTTTGTTGTGGGGAAACTATTCCCATTGTTTGGGCAATAGATTTTGCTCACACTCAGTGCAGTACTTCATAACAACAGTGTTAAGAATGACAACAGAAATGACAATTTAAAAAAAATTGCATGAAACTGCTGAGTTCTGATTATTCATAGTGCATAGGAATTCCATTTTTGCATTTTTCCTGCAACCTTAAGACTGTTATTCTTATTAATAGGAACATTGTGTCAAGCAGTTTTTTACTTCAGTGGCTAGAGGTTCAGATGTTAAACATCACAAGATACAGAATAAGACTCTTAAATTAAGTATTATTGGACAATTATTGCACAAATAGCAGCCAGCAATCCTAGAAGTTACCACTTCCTCCTCTACTAGAGATTCCAACCCACCACACTTGGATGGATGAATGACTGTGTGACACACTTCTTCATTGCAGTCACATGTATCAGTTTCTGTCTGTGGTTCAAACTAACATGACTGACCCTTCAATGAAGCAGATGAGGAGTACTCTCAAAATTTATGAAATCACTTCTGCTGCATGGGATGACTAACTCCATGAGAGAGAAATGTTAACAACTTAGACCAGCACAGCTGTTTCATCAATGTTTTTGACTGGTGCCTTAGCACAAAATGCAAAGGTAAAAATCACTAGGCATGAAAAAAATTCTGAGCTCCATAGGTGGGCATTTCTGAAGGCTGGAGCTAATCACAATGGAAACATCAATGATGATTCAGTAGGTGACAGTGCGTCTCAATCATTTTAAATTGAAAGCTGTTCAAAACTAGCTGGCATTGCTTGTATGAAAGAAGCCATTTCATGTCTTTGCCAGTTGGTGGTCCATTCAGAAACTCAGTTAGAAGACTAAGAATAAATGATGAAACATTTATATGAAAATATATTCTGCCATTAACTTAGCAGTCAAGCAAAAAAATAGAACAGTTCTTACAACACAGTTTTATGTTCTGCTTTCACATGCATTCAAATGGTATCTACACACAGCATGCATTAATCTGCATTAACCTGCATTAACAGCATAGAAATTAGCCTAACACTGGATTAAACTTTCTTTATTATACCTACAGAAGGTCAACTATAAAACCACAATGGATATGATTAGAATCGTAAATCACTGCAGATGTTTACCTCCATGTGATCTGGCAGTTTCTGCCTAACCTGGAGTAAACTGAAGTTATTGCAGAAAAGCCAGATTTCTCAACACAGTAATGCAAGGCCACTGTTGCATGCTGCTCACCACAGTAATTTTGTAGGTAGCTATTTTAGCAGGTTTCCTGCTATGATCACTTGTTTACTACTCTAAGAAAAAAAGTATATCACTGATCACAGTTTTAAACTAGAAGTATCAGAGAATACTTGAGAAAAATCCTGCCTTTTCTTCATACAGCATCCTGACCAATAAACAGATAAGGCAAATTGATTTTATAATCCATAGGATCCCTCTATGGTGGTGAATAGCTGGATCCAGCAAGAAGCTGTTCTTGTCCAAAGGCCATAAAGCAGCAACTCTCCTTATGGTACAGCTTCTCTACAGTTTCAAATGGTACCACCAGTAGGTACCAAAGTCTTTAAGGATCTGGGCAATAATAGTGACTCAAAGCTGAGAACCCTAAACAACATAGTGCATCTCTTCCATTAAAGAAATAGTTTTAAAAGACAAATGTCTTACAGAAAGAAAGCAAAACCTGACTGCTATGTAACAATCTTCACAACTTACCTAGAGCAGTATCAAACTCCCCACCATCCCTTGAGAAAGCACTGAAAACTTGGACCACACCTTTAGATACTTAGTTCCTTTAAAGTTTTTCCCTCCAGTTAAAAATGCCCAAAAACTAGAATAGCAATCTTAGAACCCACAAGATTACTCTTTGAACATAAGGCTTAAGTGTTATATGTCAAGCCTTTTTAAAAGCTAAGGCAAAAGCATGCACTTTTTGGTACAGATTTTATTGCAATACACAATTGCAATTCCCAAAAACAAGTTATTTGTCTTAATCAAAATTTAGTCACAAGATTAGGCCATAAGCCTTAATATTTGCCCATATATTTCACTTTTCAGGTATGATACAAACTTCAGAGGCAACTCATATTCCTAATTGCTACAAAGGAAATGTTATATTTCTGTCACAGCAAATTTAAGTGAATTTTCTGAGCTCTTCACTGGGGAATGGAGGTAAAAATCTTCATACATTTACAAAGCTGCCAGTCATTTTTCAGGATACAAATGACATTTTGAAATTTACTACCCAAGAGCTGTTGATGATAACTGATGTCTATATTATTAAATTGTGAGTCTGGCTTGTATAATTAGGATACTGAACAAATCTAAAGAAGAAAATGCAATAAAAAATAAAAATAAAGGCCTATAGGTTAGTAGATGTCTTATCTCTACAGTTATGTGATATCTGAAGTACATTTGATTTTCATAAGAGATTGGAAATAAAATTTTGCTGGAGTTCTACATCAAAAAACATCTTAAGTATATAAGGTAGTTTCCACTGGAATACTAATTCCGTGGGCTTGTGTAAGTGAAGACAGTTTTTAAAAGCAGTTAGCATCTATGTTGAGCTACCTTCTAATAGGAAGACTGCTTGTTTTCGAAAAATCTTCACCAGAGTATCATCCAATTCAATTTCCTGTAGTTTAGAAATGAGCTGTTCCTCATTTCGACAAACCTTCTCTTGTGCATACAAGCCATCTGGCATTATTCGTTGCTGTCCCAGCCCTATCAATGCTACTTCCACAGCCAGCGTTAAATATGATTCCCCTTCTTGTAAAAACTTGTGTGCAGGCAGGTGCTGGTACTCCAGAGATTTGCATTGCCCCATGTTCTCTGTAAAGAGCGACACAAAGAACAACACATCAGGAAATCATTAAAATCCATAATCTGCCTATAATGCCACATTTTCAAATTCTTCCTCTGTCAGTATCCATTTAAAAAAAATATTTAAATTATGAGTGCAATCTCAATATCCAATCATCCAGTATAAACTACCTGATCCAATTTCACATCACAGAAATACACAAAACAATTAGGTTTTAAAAAAACCACTCTAGTAAAAATAAAAGTTTTCATTTTAAACTGCTTGATTTGGAGAAAGGCAGTTTCTCCAGCTTTGTGTTAATAAGGCAAACATTGGATGATCTATTTCAATTTTTCCCCTAACCCATTTCTGTATCTCCTTAAAGCTTTGATGTTGTATAAGTGGAAAGGGAAGGTGCGTATACACCTGCATAGATTTCAGTTGAAGCTATTAGGATTATGCAAATACAGTAGGCCTGGGAACTCCACAATTTTAAAGCATTCTGTTTGCTAAAGCTCTTTTCATGATTTTTATTTGTTAGTTGCATTTATGATAAACACACAATGTTTCTGACTTTTATTAGCACTAGAAATGCTACTTTTAGTAAAAATTACTTGTAAATTCCACACAGACCAAGCCATAAATTGCTTTAAAGAGTATTACTGATTGATTTGGCACTTCACCAATACACCATATGACAAAATGCTATATCAACCTCTAGCAGTTTACAGTCTAGTTTAGGAACCAAAAGTTGCAATGTACAGATGTAAAGAGATGGACAGCTGCAGCAAATGAGATGGCAAAATGCATTTAGTAGATTGCATATATGAGTGTAGGGGGAATTTACATTTCAACACACACTACATTTATTTAATGGGGTTGTTTTGGGTTCTTTTTTCTAATTGCAAAGAATCTGATTTCTTTTAATTAAAGTTCTTCCAGAATTGGTGGATATGGGATTAGAAGTTTATTGAAGAAAATCTAATTGAATAAAATTAGTTTTGACAAAAAGCCCCAAGGAGATTTGGGATGTACATATAAAGGATCTATAGGTAGAGGAATGACTCAAGTTTCTGACCACACAGAAGGTGATAAGAAACTACCACAGAGGTGGAAAGAGGCTGAGAATAAGGAATAAATCAGTTAAGCTCCTGAGAAGCAATAGTGAAGTTAGAATGGGCATATACATCCTGTCCGAAATCATGTATCTATACTACAATGCTATTTTCCAATTTATAACCTTTATAAACCATGTACTTTATAGACCATGTATGTTATAAATTTTAAGTGTTTTGTCATCACTTTGAAGTATTATGTACACTTGTAGCTAAGAAGTCAAATAATATCCTGGACCACATAGGAGGATCGGAGGTGGTGATCCTTCCCCTCTTCTCAGCACTGGTGAGCCCACACTTGGAGTGCCATGTTCAGTATTGGGCTCCCCATGGACCTACTGGAGCAGATCCAGTGAGGGGCCACAAAGATGATTAAAGGACTGGAGCATCTCCCATATGAGATACTGAGACAGCTGGGATTGTTTAGTCTGGAAAAGAAAAGGCTCAGGAGGATCTTACCAAAATATACAAATATCTAATGGGAGAATGTAAAGAAAATAGAGACAGACTTTTCTCAATGGTATTCTGTGACAGGACAAGAGGCAATGGGCACAAAGTGAAATACAGGAAATTCCATCTGAGTATAAAAAACCCAATTTTTTTTTACTGTGAGGATGGTCAAACACTAAGAGGTTGCCCAGAAAGGTTGTGTGGTGTTCATTCTTGGGACTGTTCAAAACTCAGCTGGACACAGTCCTGGGCAACTTGCTCTAGGTGACCCTGCTCTGATCAGCATAGGTGGACTAGACGATATCCAGAGAAGCCTTCCAACCTCAACAATTCTGTGATTTCCTGTAATTTCTCCAAAAGTGGATAGAGTAATGTATGTAAAGAGGGTTGCTGCTATAAACTCATTCAGTTTTATTTCAAGTGTAAAATACTGAATTGCCTTCAAGAATGAGCAACTGGTAATTTTTGAAGGCTTCATATAACAGTTTTACTTTAAACATTTTCACTACCTTGTGTTTTCTTAGGGAATGTAAATGTGAGTTCTTATACTATAAAGACACTGGCTTTGATGTTAATTGGGAAAGGTAAGGTAGAAAAATGTCTCTGGTTACTGAAGATTTAGAGAAGATTGCTCCCTTTGCATGGCCTTACCTGTGAAGTCTGAGAATCCATGGAAGCTCTCATCATCTACCCTGCAGGCTTCAATCAGGCTACTGAAGAGGGTGCCAATTGGATCCAAAGGATGTCCCACCCAACCTTCAAGATTTGTTATTGAGGTTACTCCTATTTGAAGAAGTTCTGTGACAGAAAAGATGGAGGGAGGAGGGAGGGAAAGAGAGTGTGTATTATCCCCTCAAAACATATATAGAAGTAAAACTGATTAAAATGCTCTTCTGCTTAGAAGGAAAAAATAATATCTCTCAGTGTGAATTAATTGTCCTTTGTAAATATGTTAAAAGAGGAAAAAAAGAAAATGGACAAAGGCCAAACATTTCAAGCACTAGCGAAGCACATTATGGGTCAAAATTTTCAATTGCAGTATCTTTTGAAATCTCTAACTTGATACCAGTAACTTCTGAAATATCTGCTGAAAAATTATAGCAAAGACTTTTTTTGGTAAAATATTCACCACTGTTTCCTCATTCAAAAGATGCAGTGCCATTTTCACATTTTAAGTGAAGCTGATTGCACTGAAATAAAATATTCTGAAATGTTCAGTTTTAATAAATAAATTATGAACTTATTGCATCTGAATAAATGTTGAAGCAATAAACTCACAATGATAGTTCCTAATAAAAAAAGGAAAAAAAAAAAGGATAATGTGTTTAAATGAGGCATAAAATTTAAAAATTTGTTCTTTAAGTGCATTTTTTGTCATTCTAAAGTTTCAGTCAACAAATACCTTCATGGATACTTTGTTTTGTAGCCCTCATCCATCAATCAGTTGCAACATAAAAAAATTGTTTAGCACAATGAATTGAAGGAAGTGTTGCTGTGGTAAAAGATGCTACAGATAAATCCCTTTATAAATTAAGAATCTTATGGCAGTATTTCCCCTTCAACTCCCCAGCTTTTTCTACTAGACACATACACAACTGAACTATGAGAGCTCAGGTGCATTATGGGTGACTATTTAAAAATTGTATACAAGCCATTACAGATGCTCTGTTTCTCTGCTTATTACACACTAACTTGTACCTGCCTCTGTGCTCTCTCGTTCACAAAGTGCCATCTTTCTGAGTAATCATAAGTATTATCACAAAGCTTTAAAAGCTTGCTTCTTGCCTTTAAATGTGTGGAGCTACAAAATGAAACAGCCACACTGTTGAACTCAGTGTTCAGGACAGTGGCTTTTTTAAAAGAATCAACTGATATGTAATATGAACAACAAAGTAGTAAATAATTGTCTTACTAACAAATAGCATGTGCTAAAAATGACATTAAGAAGAACATAATATTACCAAAAAGGATTAATATCAATGACCTTACTGACTCACTTATATTCCATTTAATCTATTATGTCTAGTTATGAGCTTCACTTGTGTCATGCCAAACGAAGGCTTCAATACTCCATTCATACAGAGATTTAACTTTAAATCATGCAACTGGTTCCATGAATGTCAAATCAGTCATATGAATGAAAGCTAAGTAGAAGCATGTGGTGGTTGCTGAACTGAAACTGTAGCTGCAGAATTATTCTGCTTATAAAGAAGACAAGCATATTTTTCACTATTAAAACAAAATTGTTTAAATTTCAAACATAAGAGTGAAAAAACTGAAACAAAGCAGTGAGTAACAACATAGAAATTACAAACTTCATGTTAAGGAAAGATATATTACATGATAAAAAGACTAAAAATTTCTCCTAAGTAGTAATGCAAAGTGCTTTTAAGTTTTGTTGAAATCTAGGATCCACAATAGTGCTCAAAATTTCTTCCTTGGGTATTGTGAAATGAAGGCACATAGGAACTGCCAAATAATAATTTTTTTTCAGTCGGGTATCTACCTTGTCTTCAATTTCTAAATGAACATTTCTGGGAAAACAGCTGTACATACAGTTAAAAAATTTACACATGTGACTTCACACTGGTATTTTTGCCTACAATGCAGGAGGATACACATAGTTAAAAGTAGCAACAAAGATCTAAAATAAAATTTGAATTAAAGGTTTTCTTGTAGTAGCTGAGAATGTTATTTTAATTTTTCCACATGCATTTTAACCACAAAGTCACTCCTTTCTTCTTTCACTACCTCTCCAAACCTATGACAAAGTTCAGTGAAGGATTATTTTTGGAAGAATGCTCCTTCAGAAAATAGGGGTAGTGGGAGCACCACAGAACATTTTATAAAGACAGTATTTCAAAAATTTGATTTCCAGTGCTGTGAATCCACTAAAGTTTTAAGCATCATCAAAGACTTTTGGAAGAAACTGCCAAACTGGATAAATTTCTGTAGTGCAGACTTTGCCTTGTCAACTTTAGGCTTCCACCTCAGAAATATATAGGTCTGCTAAATTACACATCAGAGGAGAAAAAATTATTTTAAATACCTGACATTCCAAATGCAAATCTGTTTAAGAGCCTATAAATTACACAAGATGAATATTTACACTGTGCAACCAAAACCTCTGATTGGAATAAAGGCCCCATCATGTTAGACATATTGCAGAAGGCAGAACAGAGCCCTTGCCCTGCAGAGCTCACAACCCAGCTTAAAAAACACCTCCAACATCCAGAATGTGACACTACCACTATGATTGTTTGGACTGAAGAATTAAAGTAACCTCTTTTGCTTTAGTTTCAAAAGCAGTTTTCTCATGCAAAGTTCCAGTTCGATGTTATTGTCACCTTGTCATGTCCTTTGCCCTTCTCTCTTCCCCGCATTTACCTTTCTTCTGAGCCTGGAACATTTCCAGCTGTTTCTGCTGCTGCCTTCTTAGTGTATTAACAATAGCTATGGCTAGCCTCAGTGCTTCTTGTGGGCATCCATGAGATCGTAACGCATCCACCCTCGCACAGGCTGTAGGAACATGTTCTAAAATGGAGACAATAATTGAGGAATAGCAATGCTTCCATGTCTGGAATAGCCTGCATTCCATTTTTTCAGCTGTGTTAGCCAACTGACCTTCTGCTCCAACTTGCAGTGGGGATTTAAGACTATACACATCCACAGAGCACCTGATTTTGAAGAAAATTGCTAAATTAGGTTTTTTATTAAAAATGCAGCAGCCAATGGCTAATTGCAAACTTTTATTCTGTAATACTTTTCCTCCCCTCTAAGGCTACACTGCTTGTTTCCCAACTATACCTGACACCAGGCAGACTGAATTCCTCATGCAGAATCTTGGAGCTGGTGTGGCCCATCCAAAGCAGTTTAAAGACTGTATCAAGCCAGTCTTCTAAATTAAAAGGCATTAAATGGGTCTTTTTTATTAGGAAATCCATAGTTCACAATGTATGGCCCATCAGACAAAAGCAAACAAAAATTCACATAAAGTTACAGCAGGAAATTACCCAAGTTTTTCTTCTAATTTTTGTACAAAAGCTATGTAACTTCCAGCTTCACATTACAGGAACCAAATAAGTGCATTAGTAAGACATGTATTTTCTAAACATATACTTCACACTTGAAACCCAGCAGAAGTAGAGATCCAGTAAACACTAGATTTGTGCAGTGCAATAGGAATAAGATATTTTTGCTGCTCCTACTTCAGTTATTTGGTTTCACTAGAAAATTTGTCTTACATTTTTTGTATGCAGAGCTCAAAGGGAAAGCTAATTTGCACTCGCATTTCACATGTACCATCACTTTAGAACCTGCTTCCTGATACTATAGAGCAGGGCAGGCATAAATACATCAGTCTTTAGCAACAATTTTCAAATTGAAAGATTTTTCTCTAAATCAGCTGTTTCTTCAGGGTGAACTTTGACATAAGCATGAAGACATCTGAAAGTACTGCTCATTTGGTCATTAAGAACATGTCTTGTACACTACTAGAGATTTCACAGAATCACAGAATACTCTGAGTTGGAAGGGACTCACTAAGATTATCAAAGTTCAACTCCTGGCCCTGCACAGGATGGCCCCAATAATAAAATTAAAATAATATGCTTAAATTATGTAATCTTCATGACAGGCTGAAAAAAAAAAGAATAAAAATGCAGCTGGTTCTTCCAAGAAATTAGAATTCTCATATTCAAGCATTCTTTTGCTAACTAAGAATGCAAAATGGATACCCAAAACACGGGTCATCACATTACATTCATTCCTAAAGTAACTCAGTATGTCGGTATGCCACAGCACAGGAGCCAGTGGAAAAACAGAGCTTCATCCTTAAGGCTTCAAGTCCACTGCTATTCAAGCTGACATGGAATGAGGAAGCAATATCAAAGAGATCTTGAAACCACAAGAAAATATGATATGGTATAGTGCAGAACACCAGAGGGCCACCACACTAATGCACATTATTACTACATAGTTGTTACATACAGTAGAACATGCAGCTTGTTGGTTTTTTGATTGCATTTTTGGGACATTTTGTCTTTGTGGTTTTTTTTGGTTCAGTTTTGGTTTTTTTAAGTGCCATGGGAGTAAATAAAACAAACACAGTTTAAAAAAAAAAATTTAAAATCAAATCATATGACTTCCTTTAGACACACTGTTCAACACACTTCACTCCCCAAAGTCAAATTATAAAATAGAATCATAGAATGGTTTGGGTTGGAAGGAACGTTTAAAGGTCATCTAGTCCAACCTTCCAGCAATGAGTAGGGGCATCTTAAAACTAGATCAGGTTGCTCAAAGCCCCATCCAACCTTACCTTGAATATTTCCAGGGATGGGACATCCACCACCTCTCTGGGCAACCTATGCCAGTGTTTTATCACCCTCATTGTAAAAAACTTCTTCCTTATATCTACCCTCTTTCAGTTTAAAACCATTACCACTTGTCCTATTATTACAGGCCCTACTAAAAAGTTTGTCCCCATCTTTCCTGTAAGCCCCCTTTAAGTACTGGAAGGCTGCTACAAGGTCTCCTTGAAGCCCTCTCTTCTCCAGTCTCAACAGCCCCAACTGTCTCAATCTGTCTTCATAGGAGATGTGCTCCAGCCCTCTGATCATCTTTGTGGCTTCCCTCTAGACCCGCTCTAACAGGTCAATGTCCTTCCTGTATTGGGGACTGTGGCAGGACCTTTCACCCCTGATACAGCAAAAGCTTATCTCCCTGTAACATATGGCTAGGTTAGACCAGAATGATTTGTCATGTGATGAATTATCTCAGCTGAGAACCTCCTTAGCCAGCAATACACATCCTGACTTGAATGGTGAGAAAGGAAAACCTAAAATTAGTGACTGCAGAGCACAGGCATTTTTATAACTATATGTCCTGGTTTAGGGCAAGTTTGGGAGATAACCCCCAAAGGGGCTTCTCTACGAAAGCAGATTCAATTGCCCCTCCCCTCCAGGACACTATAAAAGACCACTGATTTTCATGAAATCGGAAATCTCTTATACACTTTCTGAGTGTGTAGAGAGTTCTTCTCGATGTTAAGATGTTAGAATTGAGTTACTTCCCTGGGACTGAGAGAAATTGGGAGATTCCCTGCACACTGCTATCATTCATTGGTAAGTGACATTGATTCCTAATCTATACTATTTCTTCACTAGCTGTAACATAAGGTACCCTTATTACTATTATCATGCACTGTATTTTTATCTACTAGTAGTTCTTTGTGTTATCCTGTGTAGTAAGTAATCTGTTTAAGTCTTATGTCTGTTTTCCTTGGCCTGTTCAAATAAATAATTCATGTTGTAATAGGCCTGATCAGTCATTATTAAGAACTTGAGAGTGAGAGTGGGTTTTGGGGTGCTGGCCACCTCAATAAAGCTGCTGTCTACTGCCAGAAACCTGGAAAGGCAGGGATTTGTCTAAACTCTCCCCTCTCCATTTGTAACAGGGACCACAGATTTGGAGGCAGCACTGCAGGTGGGGCCTCACCAGTGCTGAGTAGAGGCGGAGAATCACCTCCCTTGCCCTGCTGCCCACACTGGTTTGGATGCAGCCCAGGACACGATTGGCATTCTGGGCTGCAAGAACACGTTGCTGGCTCATGTCCAGCCTCTCATCCACCAGCATCCCCAAGTCCTTCTCTGCAGGGCTGCTCTCAATTCTTTCATCCTTCAGCCTATATTGACACCAGGGGTTGCCCTGACCCAGGTGCAGAACCTCATGCTTTGCCTTGTTGAACCTCATGATGTTCTCATGGGCCTACTTCTTGAGCTTGTCCAAGTCATTCTGAATGGCATTACAACTGCTTCTTCTTATTAAGCATCAATGCATTCAGTACTGCGCTAGACAAAGGACTATATTTCTTGCAACATAAAAAACAACACAGAAGATGAGGCATATTGGAAAGCCTTGTAGAATAGTTATCTTGGGCTTATTTATTTTATAAATGAATGATTACTTTAGGGCACTAAGGAGTCACTGTACCTCTCAGCATCTAAAAAAAATTTGAAAAAGCCAATTTAATACTTTGTAACCAGATTCCCAGTGATTTCAGACTGAAGCAAAAGCAAAGTGGAATATCTTAACCACATGCAGCAAGTATTTCAATCATCCAGCAAGGTGGAGTGCACACTACTGATTACAGTGTGCCCCTACAAAATTAGTAGCCTTTTTCTGCATCTCAGAAACACTACTAGAAGCAAAGGAATTCACTTGCCTTCTTCAGAGGCTTCACTATGCACGTGGTACATCTAAGAGGCAGAAAATGGAAGAGATATTCCAAAGTACCAAAATCCTTTAAAAAGTCTTTGGTTTAAAAAGGAAGCCTCAGAAATCCATGCTATTTTTATGCAAATGAACACAAGGACAAATGTATTTCTAATAAACCCCACACAAACCACTTAAGGAAGGAACCTGGAGGATGTTCTTCCTATTTCACTCTGATGCTGCTCTATAGAAGCTGTCACCACCAGTCTGAAAGCTTACAATGCCCTCAAAAGAGTCTCTATTTTCTGCCTAATGGCTCTTATATGGGGAAACTACTGATCATACTCACCCCATACTACAGATAAGGCTTATGTAAAAATGAACAGCAGCTAGTTGTAATTAATTAGTGGGGAACATATCTAAATCCCTTTCTTGTGACCTCAGCCTGGTAACTTCTGTTGGCAACAGAAGTTTGCCAAAATACATTCCTGGCATTCTCAAGTAAGTTTACCTGTTTAACTAGATTTAATGATGTCACCTGCAATATGAACAAATGCCTCATTAAATGGAAAAGAAAAAAAAAAAACAAAACAGAAAATGTGTTTGTTTGTATATATTCTGGTTTTATAACACAGCTCACATTTTTGTTTCTTTTTTCCCAGGCACCAAATATCTTTTTATACCAGATCTCAGAAGGCTGACACATCCCCTTCTCTCCCTCCTTTCTCCAGAACTAAACCAAAAGTATGGTTCTGATTTGGATCCATTGACTGTGACCCATGTCTTTCCAATGTGAAGCTCCTCACAGCAGAGTGGCAAAATATCACAAACCAATATACAAAATTTCCCCCCCCCCCCCCCCCGGCAGCCCATTCCAATGCTTGACACTCTTTCAGTGAAGAAATTATTCCTGATGTCCAACCCGAACCTCCCCTGGCAACAGCCATTCCTTGTTGTCCTGTCACTATGGCTGCCTGGGAGAAAAGGCCTACCTCCACCTGGCTACAAACTCCATTCAGGTAGTTTTAAAGAGTGAGACAATCTACACTGAGTCTTCTTTTCTACAGGATAAACACCCTCAGCTGCTCCTCAAAAGACTTACTCCCTAGACCCTTCACCAGCTTCATTGCCCTTCTCTGGACATGCTTCAGCACCTCAATGTCTGTCTTGTAGTGAGAGGCCCAGAACTGGACACAGTACTTGAGGTGTGGCCTCACTAGTGCAGAGGGGACAATCACTTCCCTGGTCCTGCTGGCCACACTATTTCTGATACAGGCCAGGGTGCCACTGGCATTCTTGGCCACCTAGGCACACACTGGCTCATGTTCAGCCAGCTGTCAGCCAGCACCCCCAGGTCCTTTTCCAATTGGCTGCTTTCCAGCCAATCTGCCTCTAGCCTGCAGCACTGCATGGCATTGTTGTGACTCAAGTACAGGACTTGGTACTTGGCCTGTTTGAACCT